TTTTTTTTTTTTTTTTGGTACTGGGGATCGAACTCAGGACCGTGCACTTGTGAGGCAGGCGGCGGGGCAGCACCACAGAGCTAAATCCCCAGCCCTCATCCCTATGAGGAGGCCCGTTGGGCATTTTCCTTGGTGGACATGTGGCCTAGGGCCTGGCCGGGCTCCAGACCCGTCCTAGGCAAGACAGCAGAGGTGGTGTGGGCTGCAGGAGGAAATGCTTTAGGCAGGTACAAACAGACTCAAGTGAGGAGCCTGGAGAGGTGGGCTTTTAATACTTTTAATGCTTTTAATACTTCACTGGGCCCGGTCCTTGTGGTGACAGCTACCTTGAGTCCACTTCAAAGGCCACAATGCCCCGAGGACTCAGAAAGTTGACATCAATGCAGCACTTTTGCCCCTGTCCTCCCTGCCCAAATCCCTCGGTTCAGCAGAGGTTCTGGGGCCCCTCTCCTCCCAGCTTCCCCATTCTCCACAAGGTGTTGGGACCCATGGCAGGAAAAGAATGTTTACTTAGAAGCTGACAGTTCAAAAGAAGTGGGGGCTGGGGGGGTCCTAATGGCTCCACAAGTTGCTTTCTTTTCCAAAGCTCTGCCCCGGGGAAAGGCGATCCATCTGCCTGCAAATGGGTGGAATGCCTGCCACATCCTCTTCCTAGCCAGCGAGGCTGAGGGTTCTTCCTGGGGCCCTTGGTCTGGCCAGCAAAGGTGGCAGACACTGATAATAGAGGGGAGTCAAAGGTTAAACAGCAGAGATTAGGTGAACACAAAGGCTTGTTAGGAAGTGTTAACATCTTCCCAGCAAATATACACAAAAAGCAGAACCAGAGAAGTAGCACCCACCCTACCCCACCCCACTCCGCCCAGCCTGGGCGAGGCGGAAGGGTAGGGAACTCAGGGCTTGGTCTCAATGGCAGTATCAGGATTGGAGGGAAGCTGAGGTGCGAGCTCAGCCCCAACCTTGTCCTGCTCCTAGGGCCAGGCTGGGGATGGGGCAGTGCAGGCCCACAGGCTCAGCTCTGCTGTGGGTCTGACACTGCTGCGATGGATGTGGCTTACTGAGTGAGGTTAAACAACTTGAAGACTGAAGACCGCTGACAGCTGAGCTCTAAGGGGGTAAGAGGTGGCTGCTTTCCCTCCTGGGGCAGCCTGGCACCTTCTCATCTCTGTATCTGCAGTCGGGTTTGCCACAGCTGGTCCGCACTTGACTTTCTCATTAGCACCTGGACAAGACCCTGATTCTGGGAAAGTGAGAACCTCAGCCTCAGGCAGCTCTGGGTAAGCAGCTAGTATTTACTGGGCACCTACTGTGTCCTAGGCCTTGAGCTATGAGCTGCTGCTCTAAGGGTGAAAAAGAAACAAGACTGATGGCTGCCTGCATAGGCCTTGCTTTGTTTCTGCTAAAAGCTAACCTTACAGCAGCTTCCCAGCTGCCCACACGCTGACTTCTTCACTATTCTCGACTCAGCCAAACAAAGAAAGATGACATTTCTTATTTCCCCTCCCTTTTTTTCTTTTTTTTCCCTCTTAGTGCTGGGGATAGAACCCAGGGCCTCGCAATGTTAAACACATGCTCCACCACCAAGCTATATCCCAGCCCAGGGATGATGTTTCTTAATTTAATGTTTTTTTGTGCAAAGCACTGCTCCAAACACAGTTAATCCTCCAAATAACCCTCTCAGGTGGGTTACTTTTATTATCCTCTTTTACAAAGAGGAAACTGAGGCACAGAAGGTTAGGTTCGCTGCCCCAGTAACAAAATGATTACATGTAAAAAGCCTTTACCATCGGTGAATTCCCCACATCTCAACCTCTGCAGCTCCACATTCTGCCCACCTGTTCTAAACCCCCACATCTCCCCAGGGCACACAGGGACTCTGGGAAGGTGGGGGTGTCCCACCTTGGTCTTCCCAGGCACTCTCCAGCCCATCAGGGCCACCTTGCTCAGTGTCCCCAGTCTGCAAAAGGCCCGCAGGCCAATTAATTTCTGGGCCTCAGTTTCTTCCTCTAAATTCCTCCCTCAAGCCAAGAAGCCACACTATGTAAACCGTGAGCCACTGTCCAAGGGTCCAGAACAGGTCAACCGTGAACCTCTTATTCCTGTGCCAAAGGATAGCGCCTTTGTTGTGGCTACTTCAGAAATGGCCTCCTGCCTCCACCTCTCTCTCCTGTCCCCTCCCCATCCTTTCTCACCTGCTTCCCCCTGCATCCACAGGGTCCTTAGCAAGAAAGCTGCTGACCTGTGTGGACAGCCGCCCCGCCCCCACACCCCTGCTCTGCATGCTGGCAGTGGAGTCCAAGAACAGTAGCAGCCAAATCCTCAGCCTCAAAGGCTCTGGGCAAACCGGGCTCCCTTCCTGGTGCCCTCAATACAAGTCACAGTGTACACATTCCCGCTGTCAGAGCCGGCCGAGGGAAGCCTGTGGGACCCAGACTGTCCCGAGCTTGTCTGACCACAAAATCCTTTTCTAGTGATGCCTACTAACACCTCCCATGGTGCTAAGCACCAGCGGTGCCCAGTCAGCCGAGCTAGCTTCAGATCCTGATTTCCGGAAGCCTGTGGAGGCCCTGCTTCCCAAAGGCTCGCAGCCAGCAGGACAGGTGTAGCCTGCTCCTGTGCTGGTTGAGGAAACCTTGCCAAATGAAGTTCTACATGGCCGGGCCAGATTTAGGCCCACGTCTTCTCCCTCCAGCACCCTGGCTCATCCCACTTACAGCTGCCAGCTTCTAGGCTGAGGCTAGGAACCTTCCTTACACATGTTTATTAGGACCACACGGTGCCACCCAGGACTCCTTCCGTGGTTCATCCCTCCCCAGCTGAGGCCAAGAATCAATTCCTTCACGCTGAGCAGCCAGCCCTGTGGACAAAGCCATTCTAGAATACCTGAACGGGGCAGACATGGAGACTCCAGGCAAAGAAAGATGGGTCAGAGAAAAATGCCATGCTGTGGGGACACTGGGCACCAAAGAGAAGGACACAGCTCTCCTCTCAGCTGGCCTGTCCACTGTGATGACTACACAGCATTCGTACAATCATTAATATGTCAACAAGCATGAAATTCCCACCCTGCCACCTCTGGATGGCACGATGGTCAGGAAACACATTGAACCCTGCTCACAGGACTAGCCATTGAATGAGTTGGTGCAGGCACAGAACGCGTTGTTCCAAGTAAGGGCGAAAACTTGGGAGTCAGGAATGGTCTAAGGGTGTGGCGACCTCTGCCCTCTGCCTCCAAACAGAGGTCTGGGGGGGGCGGGTAGGGCCAGGCTGAGACACTGGCCCTGGTGCCATATGTGCATGTGGGCACTGAAAGCCAGGCGTGGTGGTGCACACCTGTAATCCCAGCACTTGGGAGGCTGAGGCAGGAGGACTGCTGTGAGTTCGAGGCCACCCTGAACTACGCAACAAGAAAAGTGGGCAATGAAATACTCCTTTCCCCTTTTTAGAGTCTCTCTAGGTGCTTCCTAGGGCACCAGTCCTGCCCCACCAGGCCTCCCCAGCATTTAAAAAATGCCCCCAACTCCTGCCTTTGGGACTGGAATGGGCATCTGGCCATGATACTCTTCGGCCAACAGCGCCACCTATGGCTAGACGGGTGCGGGAGGTGGGCGCAGAGGGCCGGCGGCAGCTGAGGTTTTGGTGAGCCAGCCTCTCCTCGCACTCACTCTAAGCACATTTCTGCCTGGTATCTGTATTCAACAGTGACCTCTGGGGGACATAAAGGAGGCAGCAGCCAGCTCCACAAAGTGCTAAGCTGCAGATTCAAATGCTGTCAGAAGCATTTTTGTTCCCAATTTGGACCCAGGGCCTCTTACGCCAGGGAATGCTTGCTGAACCACAGAGTTTGTTTTCCTACAAGCAATTTATCTGTTGTCTGAAATTGCTAAATTCCACTTTAGACACTGACTCCTGTTAATGATGAGAACAATAACAGGAATAAACTGCCTTTTATCAGAGGGCTTCAATGTGCTTTATAAACGCAAACCCTTATTATTATGACTTTATATTTATAGACAAGGCCCACTGCAGGGCTGCTGGTTGCATGTACAGCAATAACCCTGAAATTAATTCATTCATCTCCACCCCTTCCCAGGTCCCCTTAACCCTGCCAAAGTGATGGGTTATGGGGTCACAAGAGAGAGGACTATACTAGGAGAACCTGAAAGTTTCCCTACTTCCCTGTGGGCCTCGGGGGCCTAAAGGAGAGAGCAGGGAGCCTGGTGTGACACCACCAGGAGGCGACAGGAGCAGTGGGTGGGTACAGGTGCCCCTGGGCTGGGCACAGCACCCTATGAAGCCTGGTTAGCTTCATAGCTTGTGGGTTGGTAACTAAAAACACCCACTGGCCGGGCATAAGCGGTTCACGCCTATAATGCCAGCACTCTGGGAGGCTGAGGCAGGAGGATTCAAGTTCAAGCCCAGCTTGGGCAACTTAGTGGCTAAGCAAGATTCTATCTCAAAACTTAAAACTTTTAAAAGGGCTGGGGATGTAGCTCAGTGTGAAGGCTCTGGGTTCAATCCTTGGTATCACCAATATAAACCAAAGCAAACCAAAACTTCCCACTGCGATGCGCACAGCCACCTCATGGGAGCTGGCCCCACATTAGAATCCCAGGGCTCTCTGTCTGTGACCAGTCAGAACTCCAGAAATCCAGATGGGATCACCTGGGCGGCCACCTGTCTTCTCAACCCCCACAGCTGGCCTTCCCTCAGCAGGCCACAGCGGGCCCCTTTGTGAGAGACGTCCAAGAAGCCACAGCATTTGCCACGGGCCCTTAACCCAGGGAGGGACCGATCCGGTACTCCAGCGTCTAACAACGGCCTCTTCAGACAGTGGTGCCTTCCCGGCCACGCTCCCTGCCAGCTCTGACGGCGATGTCAGCCAGGAGGTCGCAGTTACAATACTCAGCGCAGAACGACCCAAGATTGCAAGTTCATGGCCACATGCTCCTCATCCTCTCATTCAACAAATATTCACCGAGTCCCAGTCTGTGCCAGGTACTGTGCTAGACATGCGTTCGAGTCCCCGCCGACAGAGCCACGTCCAGAGAGGAGGCCCCGTCGCCTTCCGTCCTCTGCTGCTCCCTCTCGGGGCTGGAGGAAGAGGCCGCTCTGCCTTCCCAGGCACTCCGTCCAGGAAGCAGCCCAGCCCAGCTCACACAGGCAGACAGGTGCCCTTGCACCACTTACTTTTTGTTGGTTGTCCTGACAACGATGCATCGCTCCTTTGGGGCCACACAGACACCGTAGACATCCTTAGGGTAGGGGAGGTTCCGGATCCGCCACTGGAAAGTCATCTTTGTGTCCTTGCGCATGAAGATGGGCTGTGGGAGGCAAAGCCGACCCAAGAACTGCTCTTGGGGGAGGAAGGGAAGGGAGGTCTCCACCCTCCCAGAGCTCTACCGGATCCACACGGAAGCCCTTAGCTCTCCAAGCTCCCCTCAGGGCCTCAACTGCTTTGACACCCTAGGCCTTTCCCCCGGGAGACCCTTCAGGCATTCGCTCAGAGAGCCTGCGTCCAGGTGACGCCCTGTAGATGAGGGGCACACAGGCGTGGCCCCTACCCGGCGGCAGCGTCCCACCCAGGCCCGTGACGTACGCTGGCACTGCTCTCCTTGATGAGCTCCATCCCCGGGCTGCCTGCTCCGGGGGACACCGGCTCTCCCACTTCCAGCTGCCACTGGCCCGGGGCTCCCAGGGCACTGGTCACACGCCACTTCCGCACTGGGGAGAGAAGGGCGGGTGACAGGAGGAAAGTGCCTTTGCTCTTCCGGCTGCATCGCCAGAATGTTGGCGAAGGCAGAGGCCCTCTCAGTGCTGGTCAGAGAGGCTGGGGAGCTCTGCGAGGAGCCCCGCGGAGTCAGGACACGCTCCTGGGAGGCGTCAGGCAAGAAGGCTGAAGGAGCGGTGATTTCAGGTAATGCTGTATCCAGCTTTTAAAAAGCACAGAAGCTACATGTAGACCAATCTCAGGCTGGGGTGCCTAGCACGAGCAAGGCCCTAGGTGCCATCCCCTGCACTGCAAAAACGATTACACAAACAAACAAAATCTTAGGCACACAATGTATTTCAAATGTATTACTTACAAAAGATCTGATGTTTTATAAAACAATAATATTTTATATTTGCAAACTTATGATGTAAAAAATCTATTTTTCCTTTTTTAAAATCAAGATGTCTGCCTAAGATTTTTTAAAAAATAAGGTCCATATGTTAAGAAAATTATAAACCCAAGAACTACAGCAGCCCCGTGGATAGTACCTGGAAAGGCCACTGGGACTTTGGGGAAGCTCCCTCCGTCCTGCCTGGTAGGTGCTGTCATGCAGTGCCAGGCAGGGCCTTCCCCCAGGCACGGCCCCTCTCCTGGGCTGCCGTCTGCCGCACCCTCCAGCCTGGCCAGCAGCCTCTGAGCCATTCACACAGTGCCCGCAGCTGCCACGGTTCCCACCTGTGGCTCTTCCCTCGCGTGGGCGAGCGAGAGGTGGCCATGTCGGCCCAACTCAGCATCAGCCACGCATACAGTGCGACACCAGCCCTACTGCTACAAGGTGCTTTTATAAGGGCCACTGCATTTGGCAATGTGATTTCATTATTTAGGGCCAAAAATTCTCTCTAGAAATACATTTTCAAGTTTCCAAAGAAAACAGTAAAACTTGGAAATACACTTTAGAGGTAACTTTCCCCGCATGAATAGCTAAGTGAGTAGGCTGTGACCAGGAGGACCCATGCCCACCTATTCACTGAAATACTAACTGGAAGCCGGCTTCTGAGGGCCTCTGACAGACTCAGAAGTGTCACACACTTCATGCAGCAGTTTATGGTGACAAGATCCATGTACCCTGTACAGACTATTGGAAAGATCGCTCATGGAGCCTCCTTTGAACCGGGGATGAAACACTGTGTAGGCTGGGTGTGGTGGTACCTAGCATGTGTGAGGCCTTGAGTTTGATCTCTAGCCCTGAAAAAAGAGAACAAAATAAAACAAAAAAACTATGTATAGAACAAGTCAGGAAAGCAGGTGTGGCATACTCTAGGAGGCTGAGGCAGGAGGATAACAGGTTTGAGCCCAGCCTGGGGAACTGAGTGACTTAGTAAGATACCGTCTCAAAAAATAAAAAATGGCTGGGGATGTTGTATAGCATGGAGGCCCTGGATTCAACCCCAGTACCACAAAGGAAAAACAATAGGCAGGAAATTAACTTTTCCCAGGCATATGATATGGGCAACAGTTATCAGAGGACAGCTCGCAGGGGAAGGCAGAACTGCACACACACTCAGGACAACAGCGCGCAGGCACAAGCGTTGTGGCCAGGCTGTCACTATGTAATGAAGCACAATTCCCAGCTGTGAAGGGTGGAAGTCCCTTTAGAAAGCATCCAGTACAGTGCCTGCATCTTTTCCCCAGTGCTTATATTTTTAGTATAAGAACTAGCATTTCCTCCCTGCTTGCTCACCTTCAACTCTTGTCACTACTTTCTAGGAGACAGAGTATTAAAAACAACCAAGGAAACCGGGCGTGGTAGTGCATGCCTGTAATCGCAGCACTCAGGAGGCTGAGGCAGGAGGATTGCTGTGAGTTTGAGACCAGCCTGGCTACATAGTGAGTTCCGGGTCAGTCTCAATTACATAGTGAGACCCTGTCTCAAAAACAAAAAAAAAAAAAAAAAAAAACAAAAAACCCAAATACAAACAAAAAAACAACCAAGGAACAAAGAGATCAATTTACAAAGGTCACAGTTAAAATTCAGTTTTTTAAGCTCAAATCCAGAATTTGAATCATAAATGAAAGGCTAAACTACAGCCTATAATTGTTCAACAAACATACATACATAATATTTTTAAAGATTTAAGTAGTCCCATTTTCTTTTCCTATACTGACTGGCCTTTAAAAGGCAAAGCTAGCTGGGCAGGATGGTAGCACATGCCATGGGACTAATCCCAGTACCTGGGAGGCTGAGGCAGGAGGATCGCTGCAAGTTCGAGGCCAGCCTGGTCTACACAGTGAGCTCCAGGACAATCTGAACTACACAGTGAGACCTGTCTCAAAAAAAAGTAAAAATAAAAAAGGCAAAGCTTCAGTTATCTGAAAAAGTACTAATCACAAGGAAAACCCAGAGAAGTGAGATGCCCTGTAACCATGGGTCACGGTAAACTGGTTGTCCAGAGCTACATGCTGGTGTGGTCTTGAGGCAGTGACCACTCCAGGACCTCCTGTCCACTCTTCCTTTCTGAGGGATGCTGGCTTTTCACCCAAACCTGCTGCTTCCTCACTTCTGACCTTAAAAGGCACGCAGTTCCCAGAAGTGTGGTGCCCTTGGTGGTTTCATCTTTTTTAAGTGCCCTGGGAATTGAGTAATTTGTTAGATGTAACACAGAAAAGACAGTTTCCCTTTCTGGTGCCGCCCAGTAGCGATTCTGGCGAAGCCCTAGTCCTCCCACGCGAGTGGGCATGCGCGCGCATGCAGCCCATTCCCTTGGCCTTTCCTTCCGTCCGGTCTTTGTTTCTGAACTCAAGGACAGCTCCTGCGGCAACAGAAGACTGTTTCCACCTGCTGTCGCTCTGATCTGATTACGTGCTAAACCCCACAGTGGGCAAGGCAGCTCCCTAGGACTGCTGTCTCGTCCGGCCAAGGCCAGCCCTGGGAAGGACGCTTGGAAGGTGTGCGGGCAGGAAGCACGCTGCAAGAGGCCTCATCTTTCAGGTGGCTGGAAAGCCGGGTCCTAAAGGCCTCTTTCCCCCAGGCTCCAAGGTCTGGCCCACTTCCAGTACGGATAATTACATTCCCCTTTCCCAAATACTCCCTGCAGCTTCAACTGGATGCAGGATTCTTTTCCGCCCTAAAACACTGCAACAGTGCTATGTGGCTATTAAACAGCTGCCGCGGCCCATCCCCGAGGAGAGTGAAGGGAATCGAGAGGGTCATTTATAAAGCTGCTGAAGTGCCTGGGGATGAAAGTGCTCGATACCCTCGGAACGAAGCTTGGGGTGGGGAGACTGGTGGTCAAATACCAAAGCAGATTAAGCGGTAATCCGATGTAGTCCAGGGGACGGCCTGCCCTGCAGCCTCTGCCCCAACACGACACGCTGTGTTCTCCCTGGCTGGTTTGAAGTTCCGATCATTGTCGAGACCCTTCGCTCTGCTGCTCCATGAGTACATACAGCCTTCACCGTGGGGCGGGAGAGAAGAGCCCGACAGGGCAGGGAGAAGACGACACTTCCCAAACACACCCACCGCACTTCCTCCTCCGGAAGTTCCTCTGAGCGAGTCCAAAAGAAAACCAATCTGGCCAGTTACCACATGTGTAGTTTGTTGGAAAAATCAAAACTATTTCCATTTACTGCCACAAAAACTATGCCTGTGTTTTACTTCATAGTATGTACAAGTAAAAGCCAGCTTGGGCCCTGAGATGATGATGATGATGATGATTTTGGTACTGGGGATTGAACTCGGGACTGTGCTTTCAAGGCAGGCAGCGGCACTGAGCTAAATCCCCAGCCCCCTGTGATTATTTATACTTAAAAATGAATAGCTGGGCACACTGGTGCATGCCTATAGTCCCAGCGGTTCAGGAGGCTGACACAGGAGAATCACCTGAGCGCAGGAGCTTGAGAGCCTGGGTACACAGTGAAGCCCCATCTCACAACAATGGACGATGCTAAGTATTCTGCAAGGGCAGCTGGGGGGGAAGAGTGGGAAATGGGGCCCCTGTGCCAGGGCCCTAGCAGCTGCAGGGCTCCTGGTGCCGGTCAGCGCCCACTCAGGTTGTTCTGTGGAAAGAAACATTTAGTATAAAAGTGGGATTTAATAACTCTTAACTCCCAATACTACGTTATTGTGCATCAAAGCACAGGCTTAATCAGACAGAAAAATGCTTAGTTTCCTGGCTCAGAAATTAACCAGCTATGAGAGTCTGAAAAAGGTCTTTCAGCTGTAAAATGGGGACAACAGTGCTACGTCACAGGGCTTTAACGAAGGTGGTGACAGGCAAAGTGCATGGCCTGATGCCGTGTTGCTCCTAAACTCCAGCCACGCGGGGCTCTCCCATGAGCAGCAGTGTCTCCTCCACTTCTGCTCGTAAGAAAATGGAGTTCAGAGGCCACAACTCATCCCTCCTGCCATGGACAGGCTAATGTGGGGTACTGGGGCACGGAGCGCTACAAGTGACTTGGACCTGTTTTTAATTTTAATTTCATGATCAAGCACAACAAAGCCTAGGTTTTATCTGTTTGTTTGTTTCTACAGCACTGCAGCTAGAGCTGCTGTCCTCGCCCTGAGCGGAACAGGAAGGTGACCCTGGGGGCTGGGCATAGAGCGGTGGCCCGGTGCCGGTCACAGTGAGCCCACGTGACCTCTGCTTCACGAGTTCCCGTTAGGCATTCTGAGGCTGTCACCCCTGGGAGTGCTATGAATTACAATGCAATCATGAGGGTATTACTACCGCATTGGTTTCCACCGAATCAGTGTCATATGCTAAACACATCAAGATATTTAATAGCACCAGACTAAACCAACTGGGACTGGAACCCAGGCACTCATAATAGGAAGGAATCGACACTCCCCTCTGCAACTGAACATGCGCAGGACACACATTTTAAGACTGGAGACTAAGAGAACGCAAACCAGTATAACCCATGTTGTCGGTTTGAGACATTTATGAGCTGTCAGAAAAAGGAAAAAAAGAAATTCCCTCACCAATACTACATGTCGATCAGGCCCAAGAAGAAATTAAAGTCAAGAATAACGACAAGAAAATAATGCAGCCCATGATTCCATCACTGGTCTTAGCATTTCAGGTGCAACTTAATAAAGGGACCAACTCCTACTGCTGACAGCCTCAGGAACAGGTCACGGAGCCAGGCCCCTTACTCTGGGAGATGAGAATGGACCAAGGAATTCCCAGACGTCTGAGCTGGAACCCTGCCCACAAGCCTGTTCCGAGGGAAGGGACAGCACAGCACAATTCCCATTTCTACTCTCTGATTCATTAAGATGGCTGTTTGTTCTTCTGAAAAAGGAGACTGATGAGGACATTAGGAAATGGAAAGACATCCCCTGTTCCTGGATAGGCAGAACCGACACTGTCAAAATGGCCGCACTTCCAAAACTGTGTATGGATTTAACACAATCCCAAGCAAAATACAATTAGCATTCCTCACAGAAGTAGAGAAAATAACCCTAAAACTCATACAGAATCAGGGAAGACCCAGATCAAAAGCAACCCTGGTAACAAGGGCAAAGCAGGAAGCATCACAATCCCAAATTTCAAGTTCTATTACAAAGCTACAGTGATTAAAATCACTGGTACATGCTGGGGATGTAGCTCAGCAGTGCAGTTCCTCCCCGGCAACGCCAGGCCCTGATTTTGATTCCTGGTACCTAAAAAAAAAATTTTTTTTTAAACATTGGCATGAAAAGACAGGTGGATCAATGGAGCAAAGGACTCAGAAACAACCCCAGACACATTCAGCCACCTGATCTTTGATAAAGGAGCCAAAACAAATCAGGGAAGCTGTCTACATGCAGAGACTGAATCTAGACCCATGTCTCCCACCATGCACTCAACTAAAATAAAAATGGTTCAAAGATCTAAACATTAAAACAGAAACTCTAACCTTCTGGAAGATAAGGGAGGTAAAAACTCTGGAAGTCATAGGCATAAGCAAGGGCTTTCTGAACAAAACCACAACGGTATAAGAAATAACATCAAGAGCTGGGCGTGGTGGTGCACGCCTGTAATCCCAGCACTTGGGAGAGGCTGAGACAGAAGGATCATTGCGATTTCGAGACCAGCCTGGGCTGCAGTGAGTTCCAGAGCAGTCTGAACTACATAGTGAGACCCTGTCTCAAAAAACCATAAAAAAGAAAGAAAGAAAAAAAGAAATAACATCAAGAATCAACAGCCGGGGATTTGGCTCAGTGGTTCTGCTGCCTGCCTCACAAGTAGAAGGTCCGGAGTTCGATCCCCGGTGCCAAAATAAATAAATAAATAATCAACAAATGTGAACAGAAAAACAAACAAGTGTGAAGAGAGAACTCACAGAATGGGAAAAAATTTTACCAGCTTTTCCTCAGAGGACTAACATCTAGAATATATAAAGAACTCAAAAAAATCAGACCCCCCCCCAAAAAAAATTTAAAGATCCAATCCAAAAATGGACATCTGAAATGATTGACACTTCTCAGATGAGGTAGAAACAGCAAATAAATATACGGAAAATTTTTCATCATCACTGGTCTTTCATGAGATGCAAATTTAAAAAATCCTGAGATTCCATCTCACTCCAGAAAGAATGGCTGCTATCAAGAAATCAGACAATAACAAATGCTGATGGGGCTGTGGGATAAAAGGAACGCTGGTAGTATTCCTGCTACTGTACCACTGTTGGTGGGAGTGTAGCCTGGTACAGCCACTGTGGAAATCAGTGTGGAGATTCCTCAAAACACTAAAACTAGAGGTTCCATTTGACCCAGCTCTTCCCCTTCTAGGTATCTTCCTGACAAAGTTAAATATATCATACTACAGCGATACATGCATACACATGTATGCATACACACGATACATGCACCATAATTTATAACAGCTAAATCTTGGAAATAGGGCAAATGCCCACAGATGAATGGATAAAGAAAATGTGGTCTTTATATAAAAGGGTGAAGAAGGGTGAATTTGAGTCATTTCTAGGTAAACTGATATACCTCCAGACCGTAATTTTTAAGTAAAATAAATCAGACACACAAGTTTAGATATCGCATTGTTTCTCTTGCGTGTGAAACCCAAAGGGAAATTAAGGAGCAAAATGGAAGACAGATATTGACAAGTAGGAAGAACTTGTTCAAATGGGAGGGGAAAGAAGGGTGGGGGAGGGAGAAGGAAAGGAAAAAGTAAAAAAAAAGAGAATGGAAGGGAAAAAATGAAAGCAAAGCTTTTGTAAATGGGGTGGGGAATAAGGGTTGAAGGAAGGGGAGGAGAATGGGTTAAAAAATATAAGAATTAAGATATATTATGTACAGGTACAAATGCCCCACGATGAATGTGATCATTATATATGAAAAAATGTACTAATTTAAAAAATAAACAACAAAAGAATAAAAAATAGGATCATATCAAATTAAAAAGCTTCTGTACAGCGAAGGAAACAATCAACAGAGTGAAGAGACAACCTACAGAATGGGAAAAAAATTGCAGCTACTCCTCGGACAGAGGATTAATATCTACAATATACAAAGAACTCAAAACAATTAAGACCCCCCCCAGGATAAAAGATTTAATCAAGAAATAGGCAAATGAAATGAAAAGACACTTCTCAGAAGTACACACAGCCACTAAATACCTGGAAAAATGTTCAACATCTCTGACCATTAGAAAAATGCAGATTAAAATAATGCTGAGATTCTATTTTACTCCAGAAAGAATAGCATCATCAAGAAACCAAACAAAAACAAATGCTGGTGGGGCTGTGGGGAAAAGGAGCCCTCCTCCACTGTTGTTAAGAATTAATGAGTGTAGGCCAGGGACTTGGCCCCGTGGTACGGTGCCGGCCTCACAAGCACAAGGTCCCGAGTTAGAGCCCTAGTACCAATAAATAAATAAATAAATAAATAACTAACTAGTGTGGCCGCTACGGAAACCAGGGTACAGGTGTCTCAAAATTTAAAATAGAAATTCTAAGTTGTGGAGGTGAGCCATGAGTGCATCATGTGATGAACAGATATAGAAAATGTGGCATTTAAACACAATGAAAGAATAAAACCCTAAGTCATTTGTAAGAAAATAGATGCACCTTGAATCCATAATGTTAAGCGAAATAAATCAGACACAAGATTAAAAATCATATGGTTGGGGGCTGGGGATTTAGCTCAGTGGCACCTGCGCCTCACAAGTGCAAGGTCCTCAGTTCAATTCCTGGTACCACCCCCAAAAAATTCATACAGTTTCTCTTACATGAGAAACTGAAAGTATAAATAAATCAAAGAGCAAAATACAAGCTAGAAAAGAAATAGGAAGACAGATCTTTGGCAAGTGTGAAGGGGACTAAGAAATGGGGGAGGGGAAAGGAAAAAAGGATTAAAATTGTAACATCCCAACTTAACCACAATGATTGTATCCACCACATACTTCAGGCATGTACTAATGAAAAATACTACTGCTACTAATAAGATGAGAAGTTTTGTTTCTTGAAGTACTGGGGATTGAACCCAGAACCTTGTGTGTGCTGTGAAAGGCTCTTGCTGAGCTACATGCATCCACAGCCCTTTTTAATTTTACTGAGACAGAGTTCAATAAGTTGCCCGGGCTGGCGTTAGACTTGGGATCCTCCTGTCCCAGCCACTGAGCAGCTGGAATCATAGGGAGGACGCCATCGAGCAGTGTGGCCTTGGAGGTAAGATCAGAAGCTCACCCCGACCCCCTTCTGGCTCCTGGAGTGGCTTCAGAAAATAAAGCCAGAAATAAGCAAAGGCCCGGGCCTCACCGCTCTGCACTCCGACCTCCCGCTGCCACCGTCCTCTCTGCAAGGCCTGCTTCTGTATATCCCCACTCCCAGCTTAGAACTGTGACCCTCCCGTCGGACTCAGGGTGGCGATGGGCTTCCTGGCCAAAGGGCGCCGCCCTTCTTCCGGTCCAGAATCTTCCCGGAACCATTTTGCGGGCACTGCTCAGCCTCCCCAGCTTCTACATTTCCTGCTGGGCTCTCCCTTCAAGGTTTAGCTAGAAACACCCTGCTCGGCCTCAGCCAGCCCCAAGTGTTCCTAAAGGTCCGGTGGGGCCTGTCACTTACCAAGCAGATCACCGGTCTTCTCGTCGTATTCTTCAGCCATTTCCTTCCCATCTGGAAACAAATAATGCACCTTTCTTCTTCCTACATGAAAGCAGAAGGCACCCATTTCAGAGCTTTCCTTTATCCTGCCCCTTGCGGAAGGAGACACCTGACAACTAAACGGTACCACCGCCCCGTACTGAACTCCGACCTTCCCTGACTGCGGGCCTCGCCTGAGCTCACGCCCTTCTGAAGCCTCTCCGGCATCTCTGCGCAGCTGCTTCCTCTGCAATCACAGCACCACACTTCCACTGTGAAGTCTCCCTTCACTACCACCGCACACTGCCTTGGAAGAATCCAGCTTCCTCATTTGGGTCTCGCTGCTTTATTCATATCACCCGCCATGATTTTTCTGAAGCACTCCATGGGAACAACATCAAATGACTTTCTCTCCCCAGTATCTAAAACTAGGCTATGTGCTCAGGGTCCCAAGCAGGGCATCCAGAGCCAGCATGGCCCCCAGCCATGTGCTTCTGTCTCCTTCCACACATCTCCAGGCCATTGTGAAAGAGTGAGTCACCACCCACTGAGGAACAGACAAATCCAAGGACTTTTCCTAGCCCAACTCCTTTTCCTACAAGGTATGATTGTAAGCATTTAAGGGCTGTACGTAATTTCCTCCTCCTTTCTGCAGACAGGTAAGTAGATACAGATAGGCCACTCAGACAGACTAAAAAAATGGCACCAATGCTAAGTAGTTGCATAAGCTTCAAGAATTACAGCCGTATGGTGGCTTGTGCTGTATAAATCACTCCTCTGGGACAGTGCTCGAGTCATTCCTAACTTGTATTTCAGGAAAATTCACCCCAAATTTAAAGGGCCTCTGTGCAGATTCCTAGGACCCACCACACTAAACCATCTGGATGGTTCCCAAGAGCTAGAAGGGGTTTTCCTGTCAGGAACAGGGTACACGATGGGCATCCTTCAAGTAGCTGAGGATGAGCCAGGCATGATGGCTTATACCTGTAACCCCAGCACTTGGGAGGCTAAGGCAGAAGGATCGCTGTGAGTTTGAGGTCAGCCTGGGCTATATGAGTTCAAGGCCAGCCTGAACCACATAGTGAGACCCTATCTCAAAAAAAAAAAAAAAAAAAAAAAAAAATTGCTGAGGATGTCTGGCCAGAACATCATTTATTCTTGGCACACCCCGTCCTGGCACTGGGGATCAAACTCAGGACCTTTCATTTGCCAGGCAGGCAGAGCACAGAGCTATACATCCTCAGACCCTGGAGTCCAGTCTTGAGTTCAGACAGAATGAAGTATTTGCTGTCACCCCAGGCACTTTACATGTTTTACTGAATTTTCTCATAATAATCCTATATGTCACTGATGAGGAAAATTGAGATGTAAAGGGCATGAAACTTGACCAAGACCATAAAGCTAGGAAATGACAGCCAGGGGCTTAAATTTTCTTGGGGCCAAACTCCAGGTTCCAATAACTATACTAAACCAATGTGTATGGGTTTAAATATTTGTAAAGTTGAACACTGTTCCAAGAGTTTACTGGACAGTTTTAGCAAGTCCCCTGTGTATGGCCCCACATTCCTGGGGAGGGCAATTCTGCAGGTGGTTTGACATAGAATAGCCATATATTCAACACTGTATTTTATTTGTTTTGGGAAACAATCCTAACAATATCATTTTGTTTTTTTGGTACCGGGAATCGAACTCGGGCACTTGCACCTGTGAGACAGGTGGCGGAACCACTGAGCCAAACTCCCAGCCCCCTAACAATATCATTTTTACTTTTGGTACCGGGGATTGAACTCAGGTCCTTGCGCTTGCAAGGCAGGTGGCAGAGCCACTGAGCTTAATCCCTGGCAACAATATCATTTTTGATGCTACAAGTGAAAAGAATTTAACACAATCCTGGCTAATGAAATACATGTTTAAACAGTGTCCTGTGACCACAGCAGTAAAAGCAGGGATTTTTTTTTTTTTGAGACAGGGTTTCACTATGCAGTTCAGACTGACCTGGAACTCACTATGTAGCTCAGGCTGGTCTTGAACTTGCAATGATCCTCCTGCCTCAGCCTCCCAAGTGCTGGGATTACAGATTTGCACCATCACACCTGGCTCTAAAACTTTTTTTGGTACCAGGGATAGAACTCAGGTCCTTGCACTTGCAAGGCGGCAGCACCACTGAGGTAAATCCCCAGCCCAGGGATTTAAATAGGTATTTGTGTTGACAGCATCAGTCACAATATTCAGAAGGTGGAAGCCACTGAGGTGTCTGCCAAGAGGTAAATAAAATATTACATACATACACACACACACACACACACACACACGCACTCATACATACACATACACACAGTGGGAATATTACTCATCTTTAAAAAGGAAGGATTTTCTGGCACATGCTAGAAAGATGGGATCTTGAAGACATTATTCTATGTGAAACAAGCCAATCTTAAAAGGACAAATACTGTTTTGTATGATTTTCACCTTCTTGCTCTTATATAAGGTTCTTAGAGTAGTCAAATTCATAGACATGACAAGCAGAATGGTGACCACCAGGGGCTGGGGGAAAAGAATGGGGAGTTAGGTTTAACGGTTGAAGAGTTTCAACTGAGGAAGATGAAAGGTTCTGGAGATGGACTGTGCTAACAGCTGTAAAGCAATGTGAGTGTCCTTAATTCAACTGAATTGCATACTTAAAAATGGTTAACATGGGGGCCAGGGATTTAGCTCAGTGGTTCTGGAGCGTGCCTCGCAAACACAAGGACCAGAATTCGATCCCCAGCACCCCCACCCCAAAAAGGTTAACACGGTGTATTTTGTGGTATGTGTTTTTCACCATTACAAAAATAAAAACAAAACTACTACCCTGAGATAATGCCCAGAATCTTCTACACACCACAAGAGATTACAATATGCCCCAATATGTCTGCAATTTCTGATTTGCCACCAATTCTCCTCATTGTTCCTTGAGAAAAGGGATCCTTTTATTCACCCTTGTATCCCAGCACCTAGTACAGTACCTGTGTAGGTGGCTTGTTGACTGGTGGATGCTTTCACACACTAAATGTTTTGTTATTCCTCAAGTAACCAGCTGTAAATTTCATACCTCCATGCCTTTAGGTGTATGAGTCATTCTTCCTCAAATAACAATCCCTCTACATTTTTAAACACCTATTAATTCCCCAGGACCACACCTATTTCCAGAGACAATCATTTCCATCTTCTTGCTCTTGAAGCATTTTATGTAAGAGTCCAGCCTCTATCTGACACACACTATTATTTATTTATATGTCTTTTTCCTGACCATTCTGTGAACTCTGGGGAGAACGTGTCTTTTTCTGTATGCTCTAGTGCAGAGCTTGGTACACAGGTAGTTTCCCTTAATCTTGCACAGACAAGCAAATGAGCAGCTGATCTTAATTTTCACAAACCCCTGACTTCCTTGATTGGTCTCTACCTGTGAGTCCCCAACTGTTAGCTTTAAAGCCTCAGAAATTCAGACCCAATTCACCCAGGCTTTTGGGTTCAGAAAAGAACTCTGAAGTAGAGGGGACCCTTACAGTGGCCAATTCTAGGGTGGGGAAAAGCCTGGGCTTTATAGCCCTGTGCCAGTTGTTCCAGGCAAAACCCTTGGTCCTTGTTCTATTTCACCTAATGATCCAAGGAACACTGAGAGGCTCACTTTACAAAGAATACAGCTGAAACCTCAGAGATAACAGTGGTAGCAATTAATGGCAGAGTGGAACTAGAGCCCAGTTTCCCACTTCTCTCTGACACCAGGTTGGCATCACAGAACCCCCAGATTGAGGCTCACAGAGTTCAGGTCAAGATCCACTTGTAACACTCCCTGGCTGGGGTAGCTGGGGCTGGCCTAAAACCTTCTGGATTTGTTTCCTCGTAAGACGGGGTGGGAAATTATCCTCTCAGGACAGCAGTAAGAAGCAAAAGGGAAAATGAACGTGAAAAGAATGTATTAGTAACAAAAGCCCAAGCGAAGCGAGATGGTGTTGGGAAAACTGGAGTGTCTAGAAAAGTGGGTTCGGTCCTGTCATCTCTCTGGGCCTCGGTTTACTCATCTGCAAACGTAGGAGCTGGCCCGGCTGACGGCCCACTCGGACCCTGAACCCCTTCCCGTGGCAAGATTCGAGGGAACTCGCATTACCGTCCTGCAGCAACGCCGTCTTCTCGGCCGCCCGCAGACTCTCCAGCCAGCCAGTCACCGCCATCTTTACTACGTCCGGCCGCGCGATCGGCCGTTGCCGTGGCAACTGCTCCACCGAGGGTCACTTCCGGCTAACCCGGAAGGTGTTTGGGCATTTGCCATTCCCTCGTATTCCTTTGTAGGTTCCTATTGGCTCCACTGGTAAGTGGTATATCTTCTTTGCCTGGTGAACTGACCGGCCAGAAGTTGACCCTTCCGGGGCCCAAGTCTGTGAGTGAGACACCGGCCCCCCTCTGGCCCGCAGCTGGGAGTCCCTGGCACGCGCCAGCTGCACTTGCGGCATCTGCTCCGCACCTGCCTTGGTGTTCGCCCCCAGCTGTGAGGCTGAGACTCCCCAGTCTCGGAGGGCACCCCACACCTGCTGCGGCCGCGCCATCTACCTGCAGCTGCGGGCCGACATCCCAGCAGAGAGGCAGGAGGCGTTGTTTCCGTGACCCTTGAAGCCTTGCACTCACGGTTTCTGAGAGAGTACGTTGGGAGTAGAGTGGGACTGTGCGGGGTTTCTGTGCGATGCCCTCCCGGCTCCCCTCATCTGGGAGAGGAAGGCCTTCATAACGCTGTGGCTCCGTTTCCGAGGTTGGGGGTCTCTTTGTCAAAGCAGTTTGAGATCCAGCGGGGGCAGACACTGAGCTGAGTGTCAGAGCGACCCTCTGAAGAATGATACCATTTCTTCCCGCAGGAGTGGCAGCCTTTCCCTCGCTTCCCCCAGTACTCCACCTTTGAAAGGCTGCTGAGCAGAGTCAGCCTTACGGCACAGAAGTTTAGTTGGATTTTCAAAGACTCCTGGGAACTCCTGGCCCGGTCAGTCGAGCCTCTTCTCTGTAGGCAAGAGTTGAGGGACTCAGTTTTGGATTTCTGTACGACATCTGCCCTGACCAACCTTTAGACAGAAGAGCCAGGATCCAGCCCTACTTCAATGGACCCCAGGGGCATCTTGAAAGCATTTCCCAAGAGAAGGAAAATATATGCCAATCCACCATCAAACGCTCCTGCTAAGATTCCCAAGAGGCAAGAGGGAGAAGCAGCAGGAGGTGAGCTGACACACCCTCAGAACTCACACGCGAGTCCTTGGCCCTCCCAATGTTCAGGTTGTTCCTGTGCAGAATCAGATGGGGAACTGATGCTCCCTGGCAGGTTCCTTTGTGCCTGCTTTTGCTGGCCTTGGTCCCCTGTCTTTGACTTGCTGTGCTACCTTCCTCCCCATGACCTCCACAAGTCAGAAAATACTCCTTGGTCACTCAGGAAATGACTAGTCGAATTTTTTGCTTCCCTGGAGGCTGTCCTAAGGGTGGAAGAAATCCCATTTGGGTTGTCTTGTTTTGAAGCCAAACTGACAAACTGTTGGCAGGAGCAGTGACACAGGCCTGTAATGCCAGCCCTTTGGAGGCTAAGGCAGGAAGATTGAAAGTTCGAGGACAGCTTGGACAACTTAAATATCCAGGGCCAGGGATTTAGCTCAGTGGTTCCAATGCCTGCCTTGCAAATGAAAGGTCCTGAGTTCGATCCCTGATACCAAACAGAAAAAACAAAACAAAACAAAAACCCCACAACATACACATCTAAAACATCTAAAAACAAATAGATGGCAGAGGCTTTGGGGGTTGGGAGTGGGGCTCTGCTAGATTGTGGAAAAAGGAAATGTGCCTTTGTAAAAGAATAAATGATAAAGCAAAGTAGTGTCTTGAGCTGTAGTTCAAAGCAGGGAGGAGGCTTGTATTTATCATTTATTCAACAAATATTTATAGGTTATCAACAATGAGTCAGGTTGTGCTAGGGAACAGGACATGTGAAAATGTTTGTGCTTTGCTTCCAAGATGGCTCATGAGGAAATTGGCTGTATGTATGTCTTAGAATCCCCAGAAGGCAGGCTGTCTGTATGCAAAGAAAATGATTGTTCAGGGGAGAGAGATTGAGAATGGTTCATTGTGATCATATCTAAAAGTTATGAAAATAGGCATCTGGATGTCCCCTCCACAGAATGGCTGAGCTCCCTGAGGGCCCACATTGTGCCCACTGGCATTGGACGGGCTCGGGCAGAACTCTTTAAGAAGCAGATTATCCAGCACGGTGGCCAGGTATGCCCTGCCCAGGACCCAGGGATCACTCACATTGTGGTGGATGAAGCCATGGACTGTGAGCGGGCCCTCCGTCTCCTCAGACTGCCTGAGCTGCCCCGGGGGACTCAGCTGGTGAAGTCAGCCTGGCTGAGCTTGTGCTTACAAGAGAGAAGGCTGGTGGACACAGCCAGCTTCAGTATCCTCATTCCCAGCAGGTGAGCTGGTCTTAATCTTCTCCCAAATGTTCTGTGGTAGCACCTTTAGCTTTTCCTTGAGTTATTCAGAATAACTATAGCTTTTTAAACTGAGCACATTAGAAAACTAAGCTTTCAGAGTAGAGGAGGATTGAGGTCAGAGGTAGGATGAGACCTTTGGTGTCTTAACATCTGTCACATCCCCCCAGGAACTTGGACCAGCCACAGCCCAGCAAGGCAGATCAAGACTCTTCTGCCTCTCCTGGTACCCATGAGGTTCTGCTGAAGGCGGCCTTCTCTTCTCCCCGTGGAGCTGCATCTCCTCCCCAAAAGGCAGAAGAGGGAGCAAGTACCCAAGCTCAGGTCAGGAGCCTCCCAGCACCCATAGCTCCCTGCCCTACATTACAGAAATGGGGAGAGCCTGGTGGTTGTTCAGAAAGTCCCAGGCCCCTAAGCCAGAGATCCCTTTTGATTATAAAGCCATTTAGCTCTTCCCAACACTCATCATTCCTGCATTTACCAAGGCTGTGGCTACCACATCCCACTGGGGAGCCTAGGGCCAAGCCCTGGGGAGGCCAAATGGAACATGGCCCCGCATTTAAAATGCACATCCTGATGCCAGAGCCCCTGCCTCATCCTTGAGTCTGGTTTGGACACCCCCTACAAAGGCAGCACCTACCCTCAAGGAGTCCCCTCCATGGAGGGAATAACTTATTTATTATCTCTTCTCCTTTCCTTCTTCCAGTCTAGCTCTGATGATGAAGCCAGTGATGTGGAAGGGCCCCAGGTTAGCGCAGCTGATCTGGAAGCTCTGATCAGTGGCCACTACCCAACTCCACCTGAGGAAAACAGTGGACCCGACCGAGCCCCAGAGGCCCTGGAGAAGTGGGTCTGTGCACAACCCTCCAGCCAGAAGGTGACCAACCACAACCTGCACATCACAGAGAAGCTAGAAGTGCTGGCCAATGTCTACAGTGTTCAGGGAGACAAGTGGAGGGCCCTGGGTTACACCAAAGCCATCAATGCCCTCAAGAGCTTCCACAAGCCAGTGAGCTCCTACCAGGTACCTGGGGCTAGAGTGGTGTTTGCGCACATGCAAGGGTCTTCTCTTTTCTAGACACCAGCCACCAGTGGGCTAGAGATTTTGTGGGTAAGATCTTATACAGCTGCATGTTTTCATCACTTTATCATTGCTGAGATGTAATACCCAACACCTGCAAGTTAAAGGAGCAGAGGTTTATGTGGGCTCACACTTACTTTCCCAGTCCACTGGCTCCAGGGCAGAAGGAACATAACAGAGGAATGCTGCTTACATCATGGCAGCTGAAAGCAGAGACAGAATGGACAAATCAGGGAGGAAAACATAGGCTTCCGGGTTATGCCCCAGTGACACCCCCCCCCCTTTCAGCCATACTCAGCAACTTGTATTTGCTTATGTCCTAACATAGCTCAGCTATAGCACCCACACGGTTCAATCACCTTACAAAGGCCCTGCCTCTAAGTGTATGAGCCTCTTGGGGGACATATAGTGCAAACCATAGCATTCAGCCCCTGACTCCCAAAAGGCTCATATGTATCTCTTTAGGCCGAATGTATCTAGTCTGTATAAGAATCTCTGAAGTCTTAATAGTTCCAGCATTGCTGAAAAGCCCAAGTCCAAAGTCTCTTCTGAGACTCGAAGCAAATCTTAGCCTTGAGGTTAGCTGTGAACACCTGTAAAAATCAAGAAGGAAGTTAAAAACTGCAGACATCTGTACACTGGCACAAGGTAAATATTTCCATTTCAAAAGGATTAGGGGGATAGAAAGAAATCAGACCAAAGCAAGACTGAAATCCAGCAGGGCAAACGTTAAATCTTGTAGTTCTATGACTAGCACTTGGGTCAACTTGTGACAATGTGTGAATTCCAAAGGGGTTGGTGGCCTCACCCCTAAGATGTTGCCTATTGTAGCCCACATTGCTTCTCTCAAGGTGCCTTTGCTTGTTACCTATGGCTTTCCTCTACAGACATTCCATTTTTCTGCATTTTCCAACCTCCTGGGATCTCTACTGCATTTTCAGCTTCACTGTCACAATTTTACGCACTGCACTCTCAAGACATACTGCTTGACTTTTTAGTCCTTCTGAAATCTAGGTGGAAGCCTCCATGACCACATAACTCCTGCATTCTGCATGCTTATAAAACCTGTAACATATGGATGATGCCGAGGCCCACTGCCTGTAGCCAGGCCCCCTCTATTCATGACTGCAGAGGCCTCTGAGTGCCTGGATGGCTGAACACTGTGAAATGAATCCCAAAGAAACAATTCCCTAGCCTGGCCTTCTTAATCAGGGCACCCTGGGGCTTTCTTCTCAAAGCAAAGTCTTTCATTTTGGACCCTGGACCTTATGAAGGGCGAGGTCTTGCTGATTTCTCACATGCCCTCAAGGCATTTTTCCTATTGTCCTGATACAAAGTACTTGACTTCTTTTTAATGCTAATCTTTTCAACAAAAAAGGTCTCAGCCAAAATTTTACAGGCTCCAATTTTCTTTTCTTTTTTTGAGACAGGGTCTCACTATGTAGTTGAGACTGACCTGGAACTCACTATTTAGCCCAGGCTGGTCTTGAACTCACAGCAATCCTCCTGCCTCAGCCTCCCGAGTGCTGGGATTACAGGTGTGTGCCACCATGCCCAGCCAGATTCCACTTTTATAGGCCTCAACTTTATAGGAGCTTCCTTTCTGGTCACTAGCAAAAATTTTTGTATTCTGTTTTGTTGTTCTTATTGTTTTGGGGTTTTTTGGTATCAGGGATCTAACTCAGGACCTTTCGTTTGCGAGGCAGGCAGCACCACTGAGCTAAATCCCCAGCCCACCAACAAAAATTTTAAAATTATTCACCCCTGCTTTTTGATCCTGCTTCTCACAGTAAATATGGCTAAATACCACCTACGATATTCATACTACCTCCTCAATATTGGGCTACCTTGAAACTTTCTCTGCCAGATTAACTAATTCCATACCCTTAACCACAGTCTCTTGCAAAGTCTCAGAATATAAGCAAAATATAAACCAATTTTCTGCCAGAGTATAATATACATGATCTTGAGTCCAGCTGACAATGGAATTCTTGCTCCCAATCGAAACTCCCTGAGCCTGGCCTTTACTGTCTGAATTTCTATCAGAATTTTGGTTGAACTTTGACCAGAGTCAGACTTGTCTTACAGCATTCCAGGGTTTCTCTAGCCACCATCTCCAAACATTTCCAAACTCCCCCTGCAAACCAGGTCCAAAGGCTTTTGAGCCACATGGTCTGGTATAGTCACAGGATTGACCTCACTTCTCTGCTACCAAAAATCTGTCTTTCAGCCATTTTCTCATGGCCAAGACACAAAACCTAACACCTACAACTTAAAAGAGGAGGTTTATTGGGCCTGGGATTTAGCTCAGTGGTTCCACCACCTGCCTTGCAAGTGTGCAAGGTCCCAAGTTTGATCCCTGGTACCAAAAAAAAAAAAAAAAAAAAAAAAAGATTTATTTTAGCTCACAGTTACAGTTCATGGTCTACTGGCTCCAGGGCAGAAGCAGATGGCAGAGGGGCTATTAAAGGAAAGCTGCTCACTACAGGATGGCCAGGAAGCAGAGAGAAAAGGAACAAACGGAGGGAGGTTCACCTTTTCAAGGCATGTACTTTTTCCCACTGGACCCACCTCCTAATAGCAAGTACCATCCTGGCCAATCCCCTTCCAAAAGCCCTGCCTCTGAGCACATGAGGCTCTTGGAGGACCTCTAGATAAAAAGTGTAACACTAGGATTTGCACAAAAGAAACAAAATGGGAATGTGATGAAGGTGGACTGACACAGTCATGATAATTGTTAAGGGTTGGTGACAGGTGCTTGAAAGCCCATTATCCTGTTCTTTTTACATTTGAGTTCTTTAAAAAAAATTTTTTTTTTTTTTGGTACTGGGGATCAAACTCAGGACCTTTTTCTTGCCAGGCAGGAGGTAACACCACTGGGCTAAATCCCCAGCCCAAATAATAACATTTTTTAAAACAACAGATCAGACTCTGAAACCAAACAGACCATCATCACTATTGTGTGACTAGGCAAGATACATAAACTCTCAGAGCATTCGTTTTCTCATCAATAAAAGCAGATTAACAGTAGGAACCCGTGCTTAGTGCTTTTGGGAGGATGAAGGATGTGGTTCCACTAGCTTGGAGCTGATGCTGGAAGCCCAGGGGCTCTCACCACTGTAGTGATGGTGAAGGTGGGTGTGGTGACTGATCACTGTTAGTCTCCCTCCAACCCTCCTAGGGAGCCGAAAGGTGGGTCACCCAGTCTGTATTCCACCACACTTCTCCTCAACTGTGCCCCACCCTCCACAGCTGCACAGTTCCAGGCTGGCTTTTGGCAGACAGCTCCCAAAGAAATCAGCTTCCCTGCTGCTGTCTCTGCCCTCCTCTCTTTTCCTCCAGGAAGCCTGCAGCATCCCTGGGGTTGGGAAGCGGATGGCTGAGAAGATCATGGAGATCCTGGAAAGTGGGCATTTGCGGAAGCTAGACCATATCAGCGAGAGCGTGCCCATTTTGGAACTCTTCTCCAACATCTGGGGAGCGGGGACCAAGACAGCCTGGATGTGGTACCATCAGGTTATACCCTGGTCCAGCTGCCCCTTCAGTATTGCTGTGTCTGAGTCCTGCCCCCCAGTCCCCTTACCCTGGGTACTTGAGGTGACCTGGGTATTATTTTCTTCCTCTGCACAATGGGGATGAACCCTGGCCAATGGGAGACCACTTTTCAAGAGGAGCAGGGCTTAGACAGGCTCCCAGAACAGCCCCACAGCTCGGCGTCCTTGAGGTATATGCAGGGACGGAAATATGTTTCTCTGCCCCGCAGACTAGCATGGGCTTTCCTGAGTAGCTCAGGCCTCTGGGCTGCACAGCCAGAGCAATGCTATCAAACCTGGCTGTGCCCAGAATAGCCTGGGGAGCTTGCTAACAATGAAGAGGTCCAGGGACATCCCTGGCCCAGTATTCCTGGGGTATGCTGTGTCCTGCATACCCCTGCCATTCCCAGGACCACTGAGTAGGACCCACTCACCCCGGGGTTGGCCCTACTCATTCCTTGCCTGGAACCCAGACCAAAAGAGCCTCCCGTGTCTGCTTGTTCGTCAGTCTCGGATCCTGATAGCCTCCCTCTTGCTGCTTTTTCCCAGGGCTTTCGGAGCCTGGAAGATATTCGCAACCTCGCCTCCCTGACTGGCCAGCAGGCTGTGGGCCTGAAGCATTACAGTGACTTCCTGGAACGCATGCCCAGAGAGGAAGCTGCAGAGATTGAGCAGACAGTAAGCAGGTGTCCCAGAGCAGTAGAGGGGCCAGGCCTGCTGAATAAGGCCGTGGTCTCAGCCAAGAACACCTGAACTGTCAGCTGGGAAGCCCAGTAGGCAGGGGACACTGTGGGTCATCAGGTTGGGAAAGAGCCAGTATGGACCAAAGCTGCAGGCCCAGAGGAGGTGGGTAGCTCCAGGGGAGTGCTGTAGCCCACCCCTCTGCTGAGAGCTCTCAGCATCACCCAGTGTGAGTGCTGGGTGACATCAGGGCTAGAGGTGAGCAGGGATGGCTCCAGTTGGAACCAGAATGGGTCTCCTTAGGCAGGTCAGGCAGAGGTTCTCCATGCTTCTGACTGAGACTCCTTTGAGTGCCTGACGAACACAATAGACTCTTACCCCTCCACCATGCACACACAACCGTACGAGCTGTGTCTTTCCTGACCTCTCTTCCTATTGGGCTGGGTTGGTATGAGGGCACAGGGCTGCTTGGGCCAGCTGGAATTACAGGAATGTGCCATTGAGACTGAGTTAAGATTAGGCCTCAGGAATAGGGTTTTTGTTTGTTTGTTTGTTTTTTTAAGTATTGGTGGTTATTGAGTTAAGATTTGTGGTTGTCCAAAAAATAAGGTTTGGCCAAGAGTTTGGTTTAGAACTGGGTTACAGACCATGTCTGTGTAAAATCTAGAGTAGAGAGACAGGGTACTTAGGGCTAGGTGTGTCATTTGTTCAGCTGGCCTCAGGATTAGGGACTGGAGTTGAAGGGGCGATTGGGGTTCACTGGCTTTGGCCAGAGGTCCTGGTGGTAGGATCCCCGGGGAGCTGGCCCAGTTTAGTGAGATCAGACTCTGTCTCCAGTCTCGGCAGTGAGGAGCAGGTGCAGAACGGGCGGACAGGCCCCTTTGTCCAGCAGGCATCAGTGCTGGTGGTGACACCGTCACTCAGCCGCAGTGTCCAGGCACAGAGAAAGCCCCAGCTGGCCAGCAGCCCAGCCTGTTGGAACAGAAGAGGCTTCCACCTGGCTGCCAGGGCCCTGGCCTCAGGGGTTTTGATGGAATTACACTTCTAGGCTGCTTACTCCCATTCTCCTAGGAGGCCCAAGAAGGGCCCGAGGGGATTAGCAGAGCCTGCCTGTCAGAGAAGTTGAGGTATTATCGGAGGTGTCCTGGCTGCGGTCTCCAGGGCCCCAGAAATCTCTGTGTTCTGGGGCAGAGGCCCGGAGATATCTGCATACGAAAGGCCCAGTGTCTGGGCTGCAGCCTGAGGAGTTTATTTCTGCTGGCGAAGGTGATTTCCCTGCTGCTCAGGTCCATCCAGGAGGGCTGTGGGCAGGCTCACCAGCCCATACATCGGCTCCTCTCCGCCTCCTTTCCTTTCCCACTGTCTGTTGTCTTTCTGTGCTGTCTTCTCCCTGTCCTGCTGCTCAGGCTCCAGTATCTACTCATGTCCTCTCCCCTCAGTTCCAGCTCTGTGCCCAGATTGGGCTGCTGGGACCCGGCCACAGGCTTCCTGGCGCCTGCCCCGTCCTCAGCAGAACTGCACAGACCCAGGCACGGGTGTGAGCTGGGGTAGGGCTGAGGGAAAGTAGTGGCCCTCTGCTCTCGCAGGCTGGCATCCTGGGCCCTCGCTCCTCTGCTTGCCCTGTCAGTGGGAGGCCAAGGTGCTGGGCCTGGGGATGGGCCTGCAGGTGCAGTAAGAGCCCCTGGCTCGGGGAGGGCACCCTGCTACCTCAGGAGGAGCCCTGCCCCCCTCCCCGCCCTCTTGCAGGTCCGGGTGGCCGCCCAGGCCCTCAGTCCTGGGCTGTTGTGTGTGGCGTGTGGCTCCTTCCGGCGGGGGAAGCTGACCTGCGGAGACGTGGACGTGCTCCTCACTCACCCGGACGGCCGGTCCCACCGAGGCATCTTCAGTCGCCTCCTGGACAAGCTGAGGCAGCAAGGTACATGCCCGGCACCCCCTTGGCAGAGCAGGCCAGCAGGGCAGGAGAGGGCTTGAAAGGTGCGAAGCCTCCAGCCTCCGGGGCTGAACCCCCAGGAGGACACGGTGGGCAGAATTCGCATACCCTCTGGTGGTCGGGACATGGGCCTGGCGGGGACAGGGAACAGAGCAGGGGCTGAGTCAGGGCGGGGTGGGCAGGCTGGGCCTGGCACTTGTCCCCCACTCGGCCAGGGTTCCTCACAGATGACCTGGTGAGCCAGGAGGACCACGGCCAGCAGCAGAAGTACCTGGGCGTGTGCCAGCTCCCGGGGCCAGGGCGGCGGCACCGGCGACTGGACATCATCCTGGTGCCCTACAGCGAGTTTGCCTGCGCCCTGCTCTACTTCACCGGCTCTGCCCACTTTAACCGCTCCATGCGGGCTCTGGCCAAGACGAAGGGCATGAGCCTGTCCGAGCACGCCCTCCGCACGGCTGTGGTCCGCGGCACACAAGGCGCCAAGGTGGGGCCCGGCCAAATGCTGCCCACCCCCACGGAGAAGGACGTCTTCCAGCTCCTGGGCCTGCCCTACCGGGCGCCAGCCGAGCGAGACTGGTGACAGGGCACACGCACGCGCACACGCACGCACCCCATCCAGTACCCCAGCCTCGACTGGCCGAACCTCCCTCCTTCAGCCACTGCTGTGCTGGGCGGCTCTTGGGCTCTCTCCTGCCTCACTGCTGCCCCTGGTGAGTCCTGCATACTTCCAGGTGTGGGCGGCAGCCCTTGTCCCCCGTTAAGAGGAATGGGTGGCTGGTTTGAAGCCAGCTCCCTGGGATCCCCTTCCCACCCTGAGAAAGATTTAGCTGCTGGGGGAGAAGGAAGCAGCTGTGGTCCAGCTTCAGCCAGGAGCCTTTGGAGGGGAGGACAGGCCACCCCACACGTGCTGCCTGCATTCACTGGCTTCCTGTGCCGCTGGAGCTGCTAGGAAGTGGGTGCCCTGGCTCTGTGAGGGCAGAGTCAGAGGCCCAGGGCCCAGTAAAGTGTACTGGACGCTCAGCCTGCCTGGCCTGTGAATTGCTGCAGCCCGTCCGTCTGTCCCCTTACACCCAGGCACGACAGAGATGGGAGCCAAATGGCAGAGCCCAGACACGCTGCACTGACTGCCCTCAGGACAGCCGGCAGCTCAGGGTGGGCCAAGAACGGCGCGAGTCCTGTCCGGCAGCTTAGCTGCCTTCACTGGCTTGTCCCAGGGAGGAGACGGGGCCTCCCAGCCCGCCTCCTGTCCGGCCCAATCCCCTCACTGTCCCTGGCCAGCTGGACTACCTTTCTTGGCTACACACTACAGCCCCGATTCGGGTGAAACATGGCGACGAGCTGCTTCTCTGGATTATCTGGTGGCTGCGGGTGAAGGGGTCTGAGAGCCAAGAGCTGTGTGGGTGGAATGCAGGCTGGAGACGTGAGCCCACTCGAAGGTGGCAGACGGGCAGGCAGCCTGGAGTGCAGTGGCTATGAAGACAGTTCCACGGGTCCTACTTGTGCCTCCAGCGGGGGCAAGCACAAGCCCTGCCCAAGCCTAGTTTATCTGAGTGACACCTGTGTCTGACCTTGGACCGCAGGACTGAGAGATGGCTTCCTGTTGTGTTAAGCCACAAAGCTGCTGGTGGTAACCAGGGAGCAGGGCAGCGAGCGAGTCCTGGGGTCGCTGAAGTGCAGCTGCTGTGTGGGAGGGAGGCCTGAGGCCTCCGCCCTCTTCCAGCTGCCATGGGGCCAGGGTGCACTCCTTTAGTTTCAGTTGCCTGCTGACACTTTGTACTCAAGATCCAAGTCCTGCCTGGCTGCTCTGCCCCAGCCTGGCCTTGGCATCCAGCAGCATGATCTCTTTGCAGGGTCTTGGCGACAGTCTGACCCTGAAAGGGGAGCAGTAAATCAGGTTTCACCTAGGTTCTGGCTGCTTATGGGGAGAGGGTATAGGCACAGACCAGGCCCTCTCAGCCCACACCCAAAATGGGCACTGCAGCTGGGCGTGTTGGTGCACACCTGTAATCCCAGCACTCAGGAGGCTGAGTCAGGAGGATCGCTGTGAGTTTGAGACCAGCCTGGGCTACATAGTGAGTTCCAGGTCAGTCTCAACTACACAGTGAGACCCTGTCTCAAAAAACAAAATGGGAACTGCAGAGTTGCCGGCCCAGCTTCGTCCTGTCCCTCAGTTCCCAGGGCTGCCCTTGGGTGGGCTTCTGCAGGATTGTGGCACTCCTGCCCTGTACATGGAATGGGGCTTGGAGGCCTTGCCTCACCCTCTTTGCTCCCCTCTACTTGGGAAGGCCTCATGTGGAAGCTACAGCTGAGGGGTGACCTGTGCCCCTCAGGCTGCAGCCCCACATGGAGCCAGCTCAGCCTAGTAGGAGCTCGGCACCAAGTCCTCTGGCTTTGTGTCCATTCTGCCTTGCAGAGAACCCCGGGCAGGCTTGACTCAGCTCTGGAAGTGGGGAACCCTGTTGTAGTCAGCATGTCTTGGCAAGGGAATACATTTAATACAGGATACAGAAGATTATTTTATGATAATTACCCAGTCAAATTGGAAGGAGTGCAAGAGATTGACCACACACTGGGGGCGCAAGGAATCCAGCTGAGGGCCTAGAGTTCAGCCAGAGGCCTAGAGCCCACGGCGATGCCTCATGATTTTCCGTATTGAGGATCTGCACCTGGAAGTCCTAGGCAGAAGCTAGAAAACCCATGCCAGTGAGGTGAAGGATCTGAGAGATCCACATTGGAGGCAGAAAGATCACGGTGAAGATCGAAAGCAGCAGCCATTCCCAGCGACTGAGGTCCTGAGCTCCTCCAACAGCCTAGTTTGTATCAGGAAAACCATCTGCAGCAAGCAGGTTTTTGCTAGAAAATCCACAGGCCCTGCTCTTTCTCCCCAGTTCTCTTTTTATGGCTGTCGGTAACAATCTTCAGGTGGATCCTCCATGCCCAGTCACACTGATGAGTTCAGCTGGGCATTCCAAGCTGACCATTCGTCAATCCACCACAAACGCTCAGGGCTGAACCCCGAAGTGCCCCAGCTGCTGGGCCAGATCCCCCTGGCGTCGTCCTCCCTGGGGCTCTGCAAGCTCTATCCCCCACGAGCTGTGCTGAGGCTGAGCCTGGCAGCCCTCCTTGAGGGTCATCCCTGAAGACGCCAGGTGCTTAAGGGCGATGCTGCTGGAGGACCAGCCAAAGCCGGCCCGGGAGACCCTCGCTGCTTGAGTGGCTGAGGCAGCGCCTCTGCCAGCAGGCCTTGGCCTCACGGCGCACCTCCCCCGCCACCACCGCCTCCCCATACAACCCATGTGTGGGCGCCCTGGGCCTGTGCCTTTAGCTGCAGGGTCATCTGTGCCTGATGCACTTCTCGGGCCCGATTTTCCTACCTGTGTGCGTGTCCCTGTCCCTCAGGCCTCCGCGTGCAGGCTGGTGTCAAGGGCGGGGGGTTCCTGGTGGTCTGGCCTGGTGTGGGAGGGGAGGAGCCCTGGCTGCGGGGTCCTGTGTCCACAGAGGAAGCCGCAGGGTGGGCCGCCTGCGTCAGCCTTGAGCGGCCATCAATAGCGCTCGGTTAATTAATTTGATGGGAACAGCAGGGACCGCCGTTTGCATTTAGTGAAGTTCCAGGAACTTCCAACCTCATCTTCATAATTGGCCTCATAAATTGTAAGAAAGAGAGAGATCAGCAAAGCAGGAGGGAGGAGGGGCCGCCCGTCCGTCCTTATTTAATTTTATTGCTGAAATTCATCTTTTTAGCCTCCTCCGCCTGAATTGGCTCTCCCTGCCGGATTTGCCTAATCATGATAAATTAATATTCATTTCCCCACTCTTCCCCAGCTCCCGCGCTTGGATGGAGTTGGGGAGGGTCTCCTTCCAGCCCCTCTGCTGGGCCTGGGCAAGAGCCTAGAGGATGGGGACCCACAAAGAGGAGCTGTGTGCCCATTGAGAGGCGCCCCTGGGGGCAGGAGGGGCCGTGTTTCTTTTGAAGGGAAGACCCAGGGATGGATGGAAACTCTTGGAGGGTCTGGGGAGCTGAGATAAACCAGCCCTTCCCAGCAGGCTGGGTGGAAGGTGCAAGAGTGCTGCAGCTTTTTGGAGACCCAGAGGCTGAGGCTGAGCACATGGGCAGCTATGAGAGAAGGGGCTGAGGCCAGCCTGGCAGCCCAGCGACCTGCTCTGCCCACTTTGATCCAGCTGGACAAAGCCGCCTTCCCTGTGTGTCCCCACGGGGTGAGGCAGCCCCTCTTCTCCACAGCCCTGCAGGTGGGGTTGCTGAACCCTGACACTGGCACCTGTGCTGTGTGGGTTGTTCTTGAGCCCCTTCATGGCCGGGCTAGCAGTGCTGCTGGGAGGGTCACCCATGCTTCCCCAGGCAGTGTGGCCCCAGTCCTAAGGGTTAGGATTCCCTGTTCTTTTACACCACAGTTACGGGAGACCTTGGAGAAAGTTCTAATTTCATTCACTTCTTGGCCCCATTTACAGATGAGGAAACAGGGCCAGAGGCTGGAGGCGACTGGTGCCAGGAGTCTCAGAGGTCAGAGGGCTGCTTCCCCCATCTAGGGCTGGTGGGGGCCAGGTACTCAGCATGGCCCTGGTGACCCGTACCCCACACGCTCCTCCTGCTCTGTGTGGGTGAAACCTCCAGCTCTGGCTGTGTCACAGCCTGTGCGACCGTGGGGACCTTTTTCTCGGGCTGGTAGCAGAAGGGACAGAGGGTCCCCGGGGAGCAGACAGCAAGGACGAAGGGCCTGCAGGGCTGCAAGCACGGGGACAAGTCTGCGGGCCCAGGAACGAGCGGAAACTGTGCTCTCCCGATGCCCACAGCACAACCCAGATCTCAACCTGGACCCGAGCAGGGAGCGGACCTGCGGGAAATCGGGCGATTGCAGCTCAGTTTAGAAAGCTGTGTTATGCAGCAGAAAAGCAGACGCGGAGCCTGGGGGAGGTGCTTAGGAAGCTGCTTTGGGGTGAAGGGCGCGAAGCTGGGAGTCTGAGGCTCTGTCCTGACCCGAGGTGCTCCCTCCTGTGCTGCCCGGGACCAAATCCTGGGGGCCGCCCCGTGTGTGCCCCTTTCCCAGGCAGAGTCCCGACTGACCGAGGCAGGAGGAGCCGCGCAGGCCGAGCTCCACTGCGGGGGCCCCCGGAAGATGTTTTTGAGACCCACTGGAAGGCGCCGGCTTCTTCGGAGGTTGGAGAAACTATTAACACTGCAAGTTAGCGAGGAAGCCCCAGTGAGGAGGCCTGAGTTAGCTACACCATATGCCGGGTTTATTTCAAGAAAGCTTTAGCCGCATTTATGGATTTGACTCCTGGGCCCGGCCAGGCCGTGATTAGCCCAGCTCTGCGATGGTTGGTGCCCCTTCCGGGAGCTGTCCTGTCCCCACGATGCCCAGAGAGGTACTTACATCTGTTCTAGGTCACACAGCGTGTTCGACTCCCCCTGGCTCTGCCCCGGGAGTGGCTCCAGCCCGGATCGCCACCCCGCCGGAAAGCACATCCCCTGGCTCCCCGCCAGGGCCCGAGGAGGCAGCCGCCCGGCCCGGAAAGAGACCCCCTCACCCATGCTCCCCCTGCCTCCGCCCCAGA